AAATAATAAAGTACTGCATTATTTGAAATTATTTGAAGATAATTCAGATACGACCGAGCTCTCCCGAACGCGCTGTGACGTCGCACTGCAACAACGAAACCACAATTATTCAGTAAGAAATTAATAAATAATATTTTAAAAATGAACAAAAGAAACGTGTTTAAAACGTATTTTATACCTTTATATAAAAGCACAATAATTAAAACACCGAAAATTGTTCTTTTATGTGCCTCAAGCTAAAAATGTGAAAAAAGTGATTTAAAAGTTCACATCGTTGATGAACTAGAAAAATGGAATTATTTTTATTGTGAAAATTATTTTAATGTACGTATTATATAAAATACGTTTTTTGTTTTTTAATTAAAAATTATAAAAATATTAATCATGTTTATGTAAAAGTATCCAACATAACCTTAAACGTAAGCTAAAACGTAAGCTAAAATATTGAATGTCAAATGTAAAGGTATTTTGGGATTTTGTAAAATTATTTTACATCTAAAATTATTTTAAAATTATAATTCATAATTAATAAAAAATATGTTTTTAATGTGTAAATGCTATTTTTTTTAATGTTTATAACCTTACATTAATAAAATTTATCAGAATAACTTCCTTTTTCAATTTTCAAAGATTTTTTTCTTTTGCAAACGTTATTATCAACTTGCAATGAATCTTTTTTAGTAGAAAAGTTAAACATTAACTGATGAATTGATAATATTAACTGTTCTTTCCTATATATACAGGGTGTCCCGCGAGACTTCTCCCACAGGAAAGTAGATGGGATCGAAATAAATATAAAAGTCCTTTACCGCGATATTCGTAATAATAATCGAGATATTAATGTTTGCAATTGTACTAATGAGAACGCGCCGATAGAACGCTCCGGCCGCTCGAAGTATATAGCACATTGGAGAAGAGAGGAATTATTCTTTATGTTTTCACATTACTTTCAATACTATTATTTCTATTATACTAAAAAGTAATTTTACAAAAGAAAAAAGGATATATGAACATGTATGGACATATTTCATATATAATTATACATATATGTGTTTATGAATATTTATGCATGTTTATACATATTTATACATATTTATACATATTTATACATATTTATGAAAAATTTTTTATTCTTCCCGGTTCTTTCTTCTTTATATATGTCTTGACTGATTATCTTGTTTCTGCTTTAACTTGTTCGGTTACTTTATAAAATTAGAGTTGTCATCTAAATTTTCAGTCGTAGATTCAAAATTTATTGTCTCATTAGTTGTAATAAATTTGTTTGAAGTTGCAACATTAGACAAGGTTAATTTTCTCCAATAACATTCAACTTCAGTTACAGATATTGTCTATTAAGGGGTAATTAATCCTCAGTAAGAAGGCTATATTAGGCTTATATTTTCCAATTAAATTCAATATATTTTCAAATATTATGTCGATAGCTTGTGAACGAGGTATGGATGTATGAATGAGTTAAGAATTTATATAAACCAAGTGCCCTTCTTGGCTATAAATATGCTGAAATGTAATAAATTCTATTATATTCTATATTTTCAGATATTTTAACTTTCTAATGCTGCACATTCAAAGTATTCTGTTGAACTATTTCTTTTTCTTCGTCGACAACACAGATTACAGTATAATCTTTTTGTTGAATCGGTATTCAGGGCAGATTCTTCCTTTTACTGTACAAATAGAACCATTTGACGCTAACATAATCTATAGGTACTCTGCTATGGCGGAGTCAGTGTAATTTTCTCTTGATGATCTATAATAGATATATTAATATTTATTCACGCTACTTAGAATAAAATTGAAAAAAATTACCGCTGTAATAAAAATGTACAAAGTTGCTTTTATTCCTCGAATTTCTGGAACATTACATCACTCATCACTAACAATATATACTCCCAAATCATAAATATCGTTGAATCGACTTTAATGAATCCTGAATCCAGTCGGTTTGGCATTTTATTTTAATATTCTTAATTTATAAAGAGATTTTTAAGAAGAAAATTTTAAGTTTTAATTAAATTTTTTGCTTTAGCCTTCCAGTATAAGCATATGGTTGCAGATTGTAGATGACTTACTGTAGTGCGACGTCACGCACTTGTTAGTCAAAATAAAAATTGTTTTCTCAAATTTCAAATATCATTAAACTTTAGTTTTTTAGTACCTACCTATTGCTAAAAATTACAAATTTTATTATACATAAATTTATAATAATGCATATTTCCATAATAACAAAAACACATATATTATTTTTTCGTGCAAACTTTGTATAAAATGCGGATATGTTTATCGACTCGTATCTGCATTTGTAGATCATAGAATGTTCACTGGACTTATGAGGAATTATGATTTCAAAAGCATATATTCAACCTACTAAAAACGGATATGTTTTTTATTTATCTATTAGGAATTTCCGGCAGAGAAAATTTTGAAAAAAATTTTTATTAAAGATGTACATACATTTCGCATATAACATTCATAAATCTTCGGCTTTTGGATTTGTCAAGGAAACAAATGTATTTTCGCGAAGATTACTTAGTCGCCGGTGTATCAGGTGTATCATTTATTTTCGGAACGTAGAGTACATTCTCGCGCATAAACGCCGCATACTAGCGGCATCTACCTCGGGCAGTCTCGATCGAGTCGTCGAATGATTAGATTCGTCCTTCTCGCTTGCTTGTTCTTTTCATCGTCGTTTCCCGTAAAATTGTCGCGATCGGCAGGGGAAGAGATGGAAATGTCAAGAATGCTCGCAGTGGATTTCGAAGTTTTCGGCATCGTGCAAGGTAATGAAACTCGTCTTCAATTATTATCGATTTTTCATCAATTATTTTATTAATGAATTTATGATATTTTTATTTGTCGAAGGTGTATTCTTCAGGAAGGTGGGTAAATCAACGCATGTCTAGCTGGGAATTCGACAATGATTATTTGAGACTATCGAAAATGCGATTAACGAGGCAACTCAAGCGAGAACCTTGAAATTTCTGATTCGCGACATCTATCGGATGTCCGATGTTAACCGATCTAAATATTCGCGTTATCTATTGTAAACATGAACACATTCTTCTTATCGATATTTTTATTGCGATTATATCTCTTGCTGTTCTTTTCTACTTTTTCTTTCGATGGACGAAATCTGAGTTTTTAGTTTAACTTTATAGAAAATATATTGACGCTTATAAGAGATTTTCAGTAAACTTATTACGAAAAATATTACCTCGGTCGGAAGTCGAATCCGGATCTCTTGCATTCTGTGCAATATTTTTTGCAAAGTTTAAGTTTATTACAATTTTTTAAGATTAAATTTGGGAAATTTGGGAGGATTATTAATATTTCAAATTGATTGCGTTGAAAGTCCAACAACCATATCGCAATTATAATTTTTGAAATTAATTCATTTAAATGAATATATATAATAGTTCAACATCTTAACATTCAGATCGTAGTGGCGCTTCGTATTTAAAGTAATGTATCTAACATAAACGGTCTTATTTCCAATCTTAATTTCTAATTAACAAGCAATTTGAGACTTCTTTAATTCGTAGTATTTTTTTACGATTTGTAGATTGAACAAAAATATTATTTGACGTAACTCTAAAACTTGAAAACAATTGAAAAGCACAGACAATAGGAACAGGAAACAAATTTCAATTTTTATCAGAAATCATGTTTGTCAGAGTACAGTCTCAGACTTAGGTCACTTAAACTAGAAACACATAAAAATATAAGGCAATAAGACTTAAGCAATAAGCGAATCGACTAATCATAGTAGAGAACATAAAGTAGATGTCTACTCTGATTGATCAATTCGCTTATTGTTTACGTCTTACTATCTTACATTTTTTAAGTGTTTTTGCCTTTTAAATAAACATAAAATCAAAGTATATATAATACTGAAACTAACCCGGATTACATTAAGAGAGAAAATTGTTAATTTTCTGCTTAAGAAGGATAAAGATATTCCATCAGACAAGACACATTCTGTTTGAAATAAAATAATAGAACAATTTAATATAAATAGATAACTTTAAGTTCTTCTAACTTCTTAACATAAAACCGACACACAATTTCATCTACTTTTGAAAATATCTTTCATCATCGGGAAACTTAGCGAATTCGATTAGACGCACATTATTAAAGCCGTTGTACACAAAATAACTTGAAGATATGTTTATAAATAAACATAGAAATCGAAATTCAAATTGTGAAATACTCAATACATTTTATTGTACTATTAAATAAAATATATATTTTATAATTCGAAATATTTGCATTTCATTTTTATATTTAAATTAATCAAAAATTAAGTCAGTGTACAATGGCTTTAATATACACCAATGCGCACTAGTTCTTCCAATTGAATTCGCCATTAGGCATATTGTCTTACTTGCGGATAACAGTACACGCAGAAACGCAGTAAGGAACTGGGTCTGAAGGGATGGTGCATGAACAGCCCGAACGGTACCGTAATTGGCCACATGGAAGGGACAAAGGCGCAGATTAACGAGATGTAAGCCGCGGATATCTCGTTGATACAAAAAAATTATCGCGAATGCCAGATCACGGTCATTTCCTCTTTTTTTATTTCAGGAAACAATGGCTTCGCTACGTTGGAAGCCCTCAATCCCGGATCGACAAAACGGAATTCCGTAACGAGAAAGAAATCTCGAAGCCGTTGTTCATCAATTTTGAAGTCCGAAAGTAGAGGCGTTCTCCAATTCTCGAGAACGAGGAATATACATTAACGTTCAAATTTTAAAATTATAATATTTATATATAAGTTATTTATATATAAGTCGCGTCTGATAATAAAACCATCCTATTTAAATAAATGTAAAATGTAAATAAGTATTATGTATATTAGTGTTTGTAATTTTAAAAATTATATCCAAATTTTTTCACTCTCCAAATATCATCTATCGCACGAAGTATTGAGAAATTAAATATTGGGGAATTAAAAATTTTAGCTTTTTTAATATTGCCAGAAATAAAAAGGCTTTAACAATATAGGAACATTCTAAAAATATTTTCGTGAATTATTTTGAAATATTTTAATCCTTCTATATATAAAACATATTTTTTTAATATTTCAAAAATATTTCGTGCTGCATAGGATCGAAAATGAAAACTGCTGAAATGTCTTAAATACTTTTATCGCATTCTGAAAATGCTTTCTATACTTTTGACACTTATAAAGATGACTCACTATTCGAACTAGGTACTCACCTTGAAAAGTCGTCGAGGAAAAAATGTTATTTTCAGGTTATATTAATATCAATTATATTACGAAGGAGACAAATAGTTTTGTTTTTCATTGCTGCATTAGAACTTTCCTTCTCGTTTTCGATGAATTTCGAGCATATATTGGATTGTCCGGAAAGTTCGCGCAAAAGATTTAAATTTAATAAATGAAATTAAAAACTTAAATCTTCTGCGTTTCAATTTTCCTTCGGCACGAATTTTCCGGATAACCCAATATTTTATTTCATTTTAAATACAAAGCGTAATGGCGTCAAAGCAAAAGTCAAAACTTAATTAGCACTTTGCGCTGATTAGATTATACTTTTAAATCTAGAAAAATATAATTCCTGTTTCAGTAAAAAAACTTTTAATAGTTGCAGAATAAACATTTTACTGAGTGATTAAAATTCAACTCTTCTTTTCCAGAGCGTTCAATTCTTTAAATAAATTTTTCTTTATCGCGGAAAGATAAAGATCTTATCAGAAAATTGCAAGAACGTCCTTCGTGAAAAGATCGACTAATTACCTCAATTTCTAAACTAAAATATTCTTGAATTACTGTCTAATAAAAAACACATGAAAAAAATTTTTGCTGAAATACCTAAAATTATGCATACAGACCTAAAAATTATTTTGTTACTGCAGAAAACTTTGATATTCTAATGAGGGCAGTCAGTTGAATTTCCGAGAAAATTATTTTTAGGTCTGTAAATATGCAAAATTTTAGATTTTTCAGCAAAAATGTTCTTTCACTGACAGAAATTATTTACAACCAAAATTTTGTTGATATACGACTAACAAAAACGTTTCTACATTTTTATTTAAAAATTGTATTGTCAAAATTTAATTATTTTAACCAAAATTTGATTAGGACGACACAATTTATAAATAAAAAAGTAAGGAAATTTTTGTTACCACATATCAACAAAATTTTAGTTGTACGTACAAAACAATTTTTGTCAGTGTTTCGTGTGTCTATTACTAGATAACAACTCGAGCATATTTTATTTTAGCGATTAAGATCTATAAAATTTTAGGTCTTTTCACCATAAGAAAATTTAATTTAGAAAACTTAAAAAAATACTTAAAATTTATCATAGAGAAAAAAATCTAAAAAATAAAGGTAAATTTGAATACTTTAAACCTTCTTTTCTTTAAAATGACTTTAAAACTTATTTAAGAATAAACTAACGCGCTGTGCTGATTATATTAAAGTCATCCTTGAAAAACTTTAAAATATTTTAAGTTGTTTTAACACGTGCGCTCTCTTTTACTACATTTTAAATTACCTCAATATTTTTTAAGTCAATTCTTAATTACTTTTAAAAACTTTAAAAGTAAATTGTCCCAAGGGTATGGAAAGATTTTAGATTTTAGATTTTTTTTGAGTTTCTTAGATTTTAGATTTTTAAATATCTTTAAATATATCTTTCCATGCAGTGATCGAAGAGGATCACTTCAGTCCGAATGTGGCCGCACCTCTGCGAGTATCCGCAGAGTGGGTACGACATGCGGAAATGGAGGAACGACTCGCGTCAGCAAACCAGCATCCCTCCGTTCCTCTCGTAGTTAGTCGGTGATCGCACGGCGAACCGCACGGTTCTCGATCGTACATAAATCGTGTAGATCTTCCTTTTTCTCCTCCTTTTCCTCTTTCCTTATTACGCCAAAAACATCCTCTTCGGAACGCGAATTCCTCGCGAACGTGCTCGCGAGGATGCGCCTGAATTCTTCATTCAGGAGTCTCGCACGTCGCTCTTCGTCATCGTAATTTGATCCCAACTTAGTGATCGATCTCGATCGGGTGACGGCAGAAAAGGACGATCGAATTCGCGCCGCGAATGGTATTGTGACGTGTAATAATAATGCTATGATAAGCAGAGGAGAAACGGTGAGAGGTAAAGGAGAAACAATCAGCATGAGATGTTTCGAGAGCTTCTTCAAGCACACCTGGCGACCACAGCAGGTGCATCAGGTAAAAATTAAATTCCATTGTTGTCTTTAACGTGATGACCCTGATCTGGCTTTATCACTTCACAGAAATGTATCGATCGACACGTCGGACCTGCTAGTTTGATATTCTGTTTGCGATTGCATCACAGAATGATGTATTGTATTGATACGTGCTATCAGGTACGATAGTCGCATGCAGAGAGAATGGTTCCGCTGAAATAAAAGTTAGGATAATATAGATCTAAAAATAACCCAGATAACAAAAAAAGTGTCTAAAATCGAGTTATAAGACGTTTTTTTGCATCTGAAAGATGACTTAAAGTTTTACGTCACAATTTTAGACTTTGTGTTGTTTGAGAATCATGTTGATTTACTAAAATAAATTATGTTGGATGCTCACGCATGATGATAATATGTGAGAAAAGATTTTGACATTTGGCAGTTAAGCTAAGCGCCTAAGAATTATTTAGGTGGTCCAACATAATTATTTTCAAATCTATATCTAGCTAAATTTTTAGATACTAACCATATTTCTTCTGCGCGTTTATTAAATCAAATTCTTAATTAATTCTTAATTCTTTTCTGTAACAATACAAATAAAAAAAATTAATTGAATCGTTTATTTTTCTATTTACACTTTTATTATTATTTTAATGTAAAATTTAATATATTTTAATGTTTTGTAATAATTTAATTTTATTATTCAATCTTCTTAATATTTTGTAATAATTTAATTTTATTATTCAATCTTCAATGGTTCTAGATGACGATGTAAATACGCTTAAAACTTATAAATGAAAACTGTTTCAGAAGGTAAAAAAAAAAAAAGATTAGCATTAACCAGCTTTTTCATAAGAATTTCATCATGAAATAGATGCCCTTCTCTATCGCTAAAAGTTAACAAAAAGCTATGTCAAATATAGTTACATGCAAATTTACTAAAACGCATAGACATTTCGCAAGAACGCCTTAACCACTGAAACACTTCCGTTATTTCTGAAGACGTCATAATGACTATGAAAAGTCTTCCTATGTGAAAACAAGACTATTTTTACATTTTTTATATTTTTCATATTTTTTTCCTTAGCTGTTGCTATTGGTATTCTTATTAATATTCAAAAATTCAAAAATACATTTTGTAATAAAAAAGAATAGAGATCAACAATAACGATAAAATAACATTAATAACTTAGTACTTTCTGTGTCAAAATGAGATTATTTTTCGTAATTTTTTCTTGACTATTAATTATTGTTCTTATTAATATCCAAAATACATTCTTCAATAAAAAAAGAATGAAGATTTGCAATAATAACAATAATAGTTCTTAAATAATTTTCTGCAATTTTCGATCAAATCGCTACATTCTCAAAATAATTTATTTGAAATGTGATCTACTCGCCTCCAATTTATTCATCGCAATAAAAATTACAATAAAATCAATAACTGATAACCGATGAGAGATAACCAATTAAAAATCCCTCGTAATTAACGTAATTAATGTGCAAACTCAAAAGAATAAAAAGGTTATAATGATTGGTATTGACAAGCTTAAATTTACATATAAAAATAAATATTTAATACGTTGTCATTATAAAATAATATTTTATATATATAACAATATTAAATTGACAGTATTAAATATTTTTTTATAAAGATA